ATTCAAGTCAAAGCGATGCTCCAGGAGCCGTCTTGGCTCCAATAACCACATGGGAACACAGGGCAGAGGTGACAGGTAGAGTAGGAGGTTTTATTTGCATAGAAAGCATCAATATGTATTTTCTTGAATTTATGTTTGCCCACATCATTATCATCAGTGTTTTGTTTTGTTTTGTTTTCAAAATTGTAAAAACATACATTTTTGTTTCTTTGTCTTCTTAAAAATTGTCCTCAGACATGGAGTTCACGTGGCTGTATTCCCTATGCCAGTGCATGTTATCTTTATCTATAATTGTGGTGAGCGTGCGGCTTTGCATGGCAGTCACCAGCAAGGGCACGATGGCTGATGTCCAAGACGGATCCCAGATTGCCAGGCCCCAGCCTGGGAGTGTTTCATGCTGTCTTCGACTGTGTCTGGGTTGCGTCGGAGCCATAGGAGGTGCAGCAGGACTCCCTCTGAACGTGTTACTCAACCTGCGAAGCTCCCAGTGTTTGTACACCTGCATAACCCTTGTGTGTTGCCCTTTGATGGTCAGGCAGTTTACAATGTTCCTGTTGGTACTGCTTACCCTGGACACCCACCTGTACCATCGTTTGGCAGACAGGTGAGCGTAACAGTTTGATCAGTAGAGGAAAAAGGACACAAGTTTTCAATTTCAGTTTCAAAGTTTAAGCAGACACACACACACAACAAAAAATACACAAAAGCAGATATTTCTTATATAAGACTCATTTTCAAAGTAAAATAAAACTTCAAAAATGAAAAGAGTGGTTTAATACATTTTTGTATATGTGTGGGAAAGGGTGAATATGTGGGTGGCAAGAGTCAACCAAGATTTGTAAGCATGCTTTTAGCAAAAATGAAAGAAAGAAATCAATATAAGTGCAAAAGGGAAAAAAAAAAGTCAAGGCACACCTTTGTATGTAGTAAAACAACCTGTTTGTTCAGTGCTCATAAAGATCTTCTTATTGCGAACTGCTTGTGATGCAATGTGAGTGATGGTGAGTATATATCAATTGGCTCCAAGGCTCTTAGATGTTTGATTGACAGTGACCCACAAATTCGGACTTGAATGGAAAATCAGAAATTCATTTTAGACTGAAAATACTTTCTTCAAAGATGTACGGCGTGCCATTTTGTATTTTTGGAGTTGGTGGTAGACAGGTGTCAGTTAGGAACAATCATCTTGGTGATGTCCTAATTTCTTATCAAGTACTATTGAGTCTCAGTATTAACTCCACGCTAATATGTTGTTGTTGTTTTTCATGTCTTTGGATGCCAGATACTCCACAGTGGTCACTCGTCAGCGAACTCTGGGTGTAGTTCTGTTGTGCTGGGTGGCCTCTGTTCTCTCCTCCTTTGCTCAGTTCATCGGCACAGATGTCCTCAACGCCAGCACGAGCAGTACGGACCCAGGCACAGTGGGTCTTGAGTTGGATGGTAACTGGACAACTTCTTCACCCCATCTTACCTCTTCCCCACCCCCTAAGTATGACGTCAAAGTCATTGGGAAGTACCTTCCATACGGAGGCTTCTTGTCAAAATTTTATGTGGAGGACATGAGCAACTTTACCTATGCTGAGATTCACAGCAGCCACTGGACACTCTGTGCTCCTGACACTATTCTCAGTCCCCAATTCTTGGTCTATGTTCACGGGATGACGGCATTTATCCTCCCCTTGCTTTGGCTCCTGGCCATTTACATTGACCTGCTATGCATGAAGCAGAGGAAGACTCCTTTTAGTCATGCAGATCCCCCAAAACATGACTCCTGCTTGGCCCGCTCCCTGGCCCTCTCCCTCTCCCTTTTAGTTCTGCTGTGCCTGCCACTCCACATTATCCACGCTCTCCTGCTTTTTACCCCGAGTACCTATGTTCCTGACTGGGTTCGTATATTTGCCTTGTTCCTCTTCCAGCTCTACAGTCTTGTGCCCCAGATCCTTTTCACTCCTCCTAAACACATGGGGGGAGAACAGGCATCATTCCCTCTAACTGTTACCAACCTTCCACCTGCAGTAGCCCAGTCCAGAGGGAAATCTGTACGTATGGCACTGTGTGAGGCGATGCAGGCAGCTCCATGGTCTTCAGCCAAACACTCCCTTAAAGCCAAAGTGTGCCCAGAGGTCTAAATTCTTGGAAGATCTGGGCTATTGTTCACAGCAGATAGAGCAACATTCCCTCCATGTTTCGTGTGCGTAAAAAATAGTTAGTATTGGAAACAAATGACCTGTGGACTGAAGAAATGTGGCATATTTCTGTTTGTTGCTGGCTTTTAAGCAATCTGCAACCTTGTACACACACATAATGCATAACTAGCAAATGATCAGGCCAGTTAATTATCAGGTCCCACACCAAATGTCAGTGAGAAAATTAAGTCTCTAGGTGATAACTACTATCCTGATCACAGATGTCTGTTTTCTTTGACTGCTCTTCCTATGGGTCTTATTCTAAGCCTGCTTTAAATCTCTACTAAGCCAACCACCAGTAATGTAGATATATGAGTGACAGCATTTAATTAAACCTTCAGTAGTGGTCTAGAGAGAAGGTGGGATTGTAAGGAAAACATAATTAACCTGGTTATGACACAATTTTCATGGCTGCTTTGATTAAACTTGTAAATACAATACGATTCTCTCTTGTAATAAAAAGGTCCTTATTCACACTAATTGGATTGTTCATCTTGAAGCATGTTAGTATTAAGAAATCAGTGATGGAGAAAACAGTGGCAATCCATCTCCCTCTGCATAGGACATATGTATGACAGTGAATATGCCATTTACATTAGGGTGACCAACTGTCCTCTTTTTTGCACTTGTTGACTTGTAAAAACCTATATGACATTTTTTACTTCACTATTCATTATTGAAGTTCTTCTTGGCTGGGCCAAGTTTTCTCTTTTTTGGAAATCAAAATATGGTCACCCTAATTTACATTTCCCCCCTGTTTCTCATGATCACAGACCTGCTCTGTCTCTCCAGCTTTCTATAGATCTTGTGCCTATTTTTTATTCATTCATTCAGCACTTTCAGTTTTATCTTAATGTATTCAGAAAATACACAGACTGGTATGCTTCATGTCATTGCAAAAAAACCCAAACCTTTCCCTGGAACACATTATTGACAAAGAAATGTAGTAAAGTCTGGGGTAAAAAAAATATCACTCAGTGAAAAATTACATTTCTCCAGCTTCCCTGGCACAGGTGCATATTCAATTGTTTTGCCTGCTTGGAAGCTCCCTACTTCCTGATTATACGCAGCTTGGAAACTTCAGTAACCTGCGCTTCAAGCTACTCTGTCACCTCTTTGCCATGCTAGGGTCGCTGGTGAAACCAAAGAGAAAGGACTGATACAATCATGCATGTTGGCAGTAAAATAAAATAACTTTTTTTCCTTTTGAACTGAAGTCAAATATTAGCTGCAAATTGTAAAAATGAAATATGACTCTCACAAATGGGAAATTCTCTGATGTGAACCCGTTCCAGGGGATTAATTTGTGAAACCAACGTCAGAGAAAAGCTATATGAGTTATTCATACTTTTTCCTGTCATATTATTAGCCATATTTTGGTACATTCACTGCGTGCCATAAATAGAAGTGGATTAAGAACTGACGGCTTGTTACTTTCCACTTTTTCGATTTTTATGTTTTTCGATTTGATAATCACCCTCCACGATCACAGTGGTGGTCGTATTGCTTTCAGAAATACCATATGAATTGTGTTATAAGTATGTCCAGCCTAGTTTCCCAGAAAGCCTACCCAGCCAACAGTCAATGCTGTGAATTTCCGTGTGATTATGAGGACTCTATAGGGGAACACAAACACAACTGTGAACTAAAAAGTTTACTTTTTGTAGAGTTTTATTTTTTTTTCTCCCCTCTGTGAGGACGAGCAGAAATATCAGCATCAAACAACCAACAAAGACAACCAGACTGAGTGCTGTGTATCCCACAGGAAAACAAACAGATGAAACCTTTGTTTGAAGGACACACACTTCTGTTTTTAAGACATAAAAAAGGGGCAATATTCTCAGTTTTATTACTCATCGACCACAGTGAGTTTGATAGCAAGCGCTTCCAGTGGTACTGTTGCGTCATCATAAACTCAAGATATGTCTAGTTTCGACTGAATTGTTTGCTGGCCAGAGTGTCAACTCATGCTGGTAGCGCCTGGCAAGTCCATTACTTTGATTGCCGTTTGACAATCTGTCTTTATGACAGGCGACCAAGGAGCTTTGCCATCGATAGAAGAAAACACATCGATCTATCACCCTGCGACCTCCAGCAGCTTTCAAATCTAGCCCTGCACACAGATGGACATGTTGAGTGCTTCCCGACAGAATCGGGTATTGATTGCGTGGAAGTTAATGGCAGAGTCATATTTTTCTGCGTGCGTCTGAATCAACCCTCCTGTCACCTTTTCTTGCCTGCTATCTGCTCTCATGATTCATTAGCACTGCCACACAAGCATCTGTTTTGTTTATTCTGAAAGAGCTGCCAGCTTTAACCGGCTCCGCTGCCTTCATCTTTATCTTCCCACCTATAACGCCACTATTCCCCATTGATCTAATCATATGCTACATCTCCTGTTCTGTATTCACAGGATTTCAAAATCAGTACCAGCTAATTATGCAGTAAACACCCTTCGCCCCCAGCCTCCCCCAAAAAGAAAAAAAAAACAAAACAGTCTGATACCCGAGGTTATTTTTGGATTCTTTTTTTATTTTGTCGTGCTTTGTATCTTTCCCCTATAAAGAAATAGTTAGCTATATATCAACAATGACACATGGACGGTAAAATCAACAAGAGTGAAAGACAGGAGAAGAGACAACTAGGCACAGGAGACAAAGAGAGAGAAAGACTGGGAAAGAGAGGAAAGATAAGAGGAAAAGAGTGAAAAATGACAGCAATTTCTCTACAGTAGAACCAAAACAAACCATGGGAAGTGTACATTTCTTTAACATTTACAAGTATAATAATAACAACGGCAATAATAATAACAGTAACAACAATCATAATTGTTCAAATAATAATAATAATTAATAGAAAATCAATAAGACCTCTGGTTTCTCATAAAGACAAATGTTTTTTTTTATTCTTTTCTTCATTTTCTTTAAAGATCACTGGACAGTAGTTTGTTCGGCTTTGCACCTCTATAGGCTAGTATTCTGTGTTAGTATAGTTGCTCATAATGCGTTTCAGTAGTAAACTGTTTTCTTATTTCTTAAAAGTTTAATTTAATTTATGTCGAAGTTCTTTTTTATACAAACAAGGAATTCAGAGATATGTATACTGTCAACGTGTTTTACTGTACGTATGAATGTGTGCATGTATCTGCATATGTGTTTGAGCATTCAGGGGAAAAAAAGCCTTCTATTTTACTCTCTCGTTCAGTCCTTTCACTCTGATTCTTCTTGGCCCTCTTATTAAGAGTTTTAAACCTTTTTATCCTCTTAATGACATTCTAAAATAATTATACTTTTCTTTAATGCCTTAGCAAGTCATATTCCTTTCTTCTTTCTCAGGAACACAGCCTAATACTAATCCTTTCATTATTAGGAGCCAACAAAGAAGAAGTGATAGAGGGAGAGACATACAGAGACAACGAGAGATATACGAGTAAGGGGAGAGGATTGTAACAGGTGAACGCAAAGCAAATTAAAAGAGGACCACGTTTCCTCCACTGTCGCAGTGAGAGGGGAAAAATAACACTAAAAGATGCTTCTTCTTTTTACAAATTGGCAGGCCACCCAACAAGGATAGCAAAACAGGACAGTTAGTTTGTTCATAAAGTATGGATACTTCCTGGGACTCAGTTTAGTTTTGTTAGGGAATTATATATTAGCTAAGCTGTGTAGCCAAGATGGTTTGGCAATTAAAAAAAAAAATCCATTTTCAAGCATCAAGCACTCAGAAGCTCCTGGTCAACTCTCTCTCTCTCCCCTTTGTCCTCTCTCCCTTCTCACACAGTGCTCCCACTGTCTCCGTCAGTTAAAAAATTGAGCTTTGTGAAATGGATTCTTCTATTCTCCAGGCGGGGAATTATAGCAGTCATCTGCCTCTAATTCCCTTTCCACTTTGGCGGCTGCACAGGCAGAGTGCCGGTTTTCTTTGTGCTCCCCGTTTCCCTCTCAATCAAAATAATTATGGCATCATTTCGCTTTTGTCTACATTCACCTAACTCTGTGGCCTCACCCTCTCTCCCTTTCTCACTCCCTATATTTTCCCCAGTTTCTCCAGCTTACAGTATATGGCACAGTCGTTAATGGCTGGTGGGTCTAGAGGCTCTCTTTTCTCAGTCTGTCTCCTAGTTTATGTCTGTTTACAGGATGTATATGGAGTGGACTGGAACAGGATGGATTGGCTGTGTGCGGTATCTGTATACAGTCGTTTTCAGAAGGCTGCCTCTTATGGCGCATTGTATTTTGTGTTTGTGTGTGTGTGTGTGTGCGTGTGTGTGTATACTGTATATAAGGTGGGACACAAGGACAGGAAGGGGGAAAGGGTATGAGGTCAGAAGAAAAGGGAATAGGGAAGGAGAAGGGCTACAGTAGGTACTCCTTCTTGCCCTGGCTGGCGTCGTTCCCATTGAGGAAGGCCTCTTGCACTTCACCATGTTCATCCAACCCACTGGCCTCATGGGTAAGATAGGAACCTGAGTGAACAGAAAGAGAGCAGGGGACAGAGAGAGGGAGGACAAGAGGGAGATTGTAGGGGGAAGGTTAGGCGGCAAAGCGTCATGATCATTGTAGTGCCATGCAGCAAAATCAAACCAGTCAGTGCTAATATTACTCCGTAGCATACCTTTGACTGATTAATTCATTAGTTAACTGATTGTTAGGTCAATACCAGGCAAGAATTGGCTCTCGTGTACGGTATGAGCCTACCAGCAGAAATCAGAGTTGGCGAATGGATGCGTGAATAGAAGAGTCACAAGGAGAGGAGGTAATAGAGGGAGGATAATAGAAGATAATAGAGAATAAAAGACAGGGAGGGAAGAGAGATTGGCAGAAAAGGGTGGAGGGAAAGTTAGGTGCAAGAGAACAATGGCACGTTTGCGTCACTCAGAAAACCCATTAAACTCATTTTACCACCCCTCAGGTCTGTATGATTAATGAATCTGTGTAGTACAACTTGTAGAGAGCAAGAACCACTCAAGTCATCTTCATGCTGGAGTGTCCCTTCACTCCACGGGTGACTGACATCCTTATTCGTTGCACCACAGAGGTTGACTGGCATGTTGACAGTCACAAGGGACCAAGACAAAGCCCTAATACCCTGTCTCAACACTGATTGGTTGTAATGGTCCTGTCTTCATGCTGATTGGCGGTCAAGCCATACTGACTGTTGACTGACGGTGTGTCTAGCCATAGGGTAAGTTACCCTGGTCGCAGCCTGCTGCACTATTCCTAGATCATTTCTTGGCAGCTTTAGTGCATAGTACGTGGCTGCCAACAAAGGGCACTTAAAAAGATAGGGAACGCGGCGACTCTGCTTTAATAGATGAGCCTTGATACACTAACATGTAGTCATAAAACACTGGGGACCACACCTACATTTCCCACCCAACCTTTTCTCTTCCAAGGTTGTTTATCACAGACAGTGCCTGGCTGGAGAGGAGCATCCTGTCCTGCATGCTTTCTGCTGACAATTTTACACAGAGTTTCACAGACTCTGAGTGTAACTAGAATCCAATAATATTTTCACAGTGCGTTAAGTCAGAAAGTTGAGAAATGAGAAAACATGCCTGTGGAAATTTGATAAAATACCCCGATTCCCAAAAATGTGAGGTATGCTTGTGAGAGTAACTTTTGTGTCACCTGATATGTGAATTTGAGTGTGTCTGTGGATTACCTTTCTGTCGGACAGAGCACCAGATGGTGACAATGAGGACACAGATGACAGTGAAAACCAGCAGCGCCAGAACACCACCTATCACTGCATAAGGTACTGCACTGTGAGTCTCCACCACTGCACCAGGATCTGAGGAAGAGCAAGAAAGACAAATAGTGTGTGTGGGTAGACTGCATAAAGGGAAATGTTGAGAAAAAGGAAAAGAAAAGTGCTGGCAAAGAAACTGAGGGAAAAAAAAGAGAGAAATGGATCAAAAATGAAAGCAGGCGAGATAAAAGAGAAAGAAAGGCAGCACATTCCATCAGCTTGGAAGAGGGAGCAAGACAAGAGAAAAGCGAAGTCGATATCTTCAGCCGAACTTGCATTATCACCTTTCATAACCCCCCCACTCACTCCACAGAATGCCAGACAGCCAAAATGAGTGAGAAAAGGGTGAAGAAATGAGGAGACTGAATAAAGGAATAAGTAGCCTATGTCAGCCACTGCAAAACCACTCCATTCAGGAACCTGTCAAGAGTACAATGCATTTTGAATGAGGGAAACTGTGTTTACACCTCAAGCAGTGCAGTCGTCAGAAATGAAACCAAACATTTCACTGCAAAATGAGTTAAGTGAGCTCAAAACCTGGAAAAAGACAAATTATGTGAAAATTTGCAGTATAAAGTTGCAGTTGTGGTAAGAAATAATGACGGCTAAAATGAGAAATGATGAAAGAAGTGCATGTTAGTATTGAAAAGATTTGTCATTTGATATCTGATCGGTCAATCAATCAAACAGTCAAATGACAGAAAATGAAAATAGAAGAATTTGTTAAGTCACACACACACACACACACACACACACACACACACACACACACACACACACACACACACACACACACACACACACACGATTAGTGCTCTGAGATGTCATACTCCCCTTTAAGCAGTTTGTCAAAATTAAGATTACTCAAAAGTCAAAAGCTTTATTGTTAGTTGCACCTGTTGCAGATCATTTAGCTAAACCCAAAGGAAATGATTGTGTTTATGTGTGTCTTTATACAATTTCAGTAGTACATCCTGGCAAAACAACAACAAAAAAAAGACACTCAGGTATTTACATGCACAGATGCAGAGATAGAGAGAATTAAGATAATTGGAATCAGCCTTGTTTCTCCTGAATTTACAGGACAGCTCTAATTATCCACCAGAGAGCTAGAGAACTTTAAATGCGTGCTTCTTGCAAGGATGTGAATTGTTCTTCACTGGATGGAGAAAAGGCCCCCTGACTCCCACATTGGCACAAAGAAACATTTTTTAGTTTTGAGCACTAATGAACCTATGTGCTGTTGCATTTTTACAGAACATAATAAAGCAAAATAAGCTAGGAGTGTGTTAGGTTTTGTATTGTTGATTGTCATTTATGCTTAGAAATATTTAACCATATATGCTTAGAGGTGTATAATCAATTGTGTAGTGATAGGATGTGTGATCTTTAGCAGGCTGCAAATGCTTGGTGTGCATTGGAATGCACACCTACATCCTGGGAGCATGGGAAGAGGTTGTACCTTGTTTTATTGTTTTATGGCAGGATAAACGTGGCTATATCTGTTTTAGGGTAAGTGCCTGTTGTTTAGATGAACTGTTGGACTTCCAGACCAGCAGGTTTAGGGAAGTCATTTATGGGGTCACACTCTGACCCCACACACACACACACACACAGGCAAGGTACTTTTTGTTTGTATGTAGACGTCATATGTTAATGAACCTATGCATATTCATGTCACCTCAATAAAGTGGAAAGTTAATAACCACTTACTCTTTCATTGTTCCATTTTTAGTACATACATTAATACACCCAACACTTTGTTAGGTACACCTTGCTAGTACTTGGTTGAATTGTCTTTAATTCTTATGGCATAGATTCAACTGGGTGCTAAAAACGTTCCTTAGAGATTTTGGGTTATTATCTATTGGATTAAGATCCCGTGACTGGGCAGGCCGTTTGAGTACAGTGGACTTAGGGAGATGATTTGAGCTTTGTGACATGGTATGGTGTACTGCTGGATGCATCAGAAACATCAGAAGGTGGTGACACAGTGGTCATAAAGGGATGGAGTTGGTCAGCAACAATACTCAGATAGGCTTTGGTGTTTAAACATGTTCATTTGGTACTACTGGGCCCAAGTTGTTTTAAAGAAATATTCCACACTCCATTAAACCACTACACCAGGAGACTGAGCCACTGATACGAGACAGGTTGGATCCATGCTTACACCACATTCTGTCGCAGCAGAAATCGAGACTCATCAGACATGCCAAATTGTAGCTGGTAGGAATTACACCCAGTGGGAACCACTTCTTCTGCTTTAGCCCATCTGCTTCAAGGTTGTATGTGTTGTGCATTCAGAGACGCTCTTCTGCACACCTTCGTTGTAACAGGTAGTTATTTGGGTTACTATTGAGTTCCTGTCCTCTTGATGCACTCTGGCCATTCTCCTTTGACCTCTGGCACCAATAAGGCATTTTCTCAGAAAGATATTTTCTCTTTTTTGGATGATTCTCTGTGAACCCTAGAGATGATTGTGTGTGAAAATCCCAGTCGGTGGTTTCTGAAATACTCGGACCAGCCTATTTGGCACCACCAACCATGATCAAAGTCACTCAAATCACCTTTCTTCTCCATTTTCATGCTCTCTTTCATTCAGCAGGTTGTCTAGATCATGTCTAGAATGTCTAAATTAATTGTGCTACTGCTGTGTGATTGTCTGATTAGATGCTAAAACAAGGAGTTGGACAGGTGTACCTAACAAAGTCACCAGTGAATGTATGGATTTATGTCTATGATGAATATCTTCTCATGGGTATACTCTATTTAGTGGTATAAGACTTTTTTAGTTCATAAATATGTACTTGTGTCATATTACCACAACATACCATTACACCATCCACTGGACTCCAAATGCAACTTCTTTTAATCCTGCTGATGCTTTTAGTGGCATATTGCAAATGAATCACAGAAATAGTTTTTGTCTGCTCTTTGACATGGTATTACTAGCATGTATAAAATATAACTCATAAGTGTTGCAGATGAAGCCCATGCATCTCTGTCTTGCTTTGTCTGTGTTGTCTCGTTCTTTGTTGTTGTGAAAAAATTAATAAAACATATGTCTTTGAGTCTGGACTTGTGTCTGAGTTGCGGGCGATAACAAAAGCCTTTTGATGGGCTGAGTCAGTGTAAGAGCTGGTAAAGCCAATAGAATGCAAGGACACAGAGTTATTGATGCAGCTCTTGAACCTTGATAGAGCGGAATTAAAACATGAATCATTAATACAGTGCTAACAGATAGATATCAGCAGAAGAAGAGAGACTTGTGGGAGAGGTGAAAGAAAAGAAGAGAAAGGAGAAAACTGAGGATCAATGACTTAAAAAAAATCCTTTCTCTACATGCATCTCTTGGACAAATGTCTTACTGAGCAACTTGCATCACTTTTCTGGTTTTGTGGATGACAAAAGACTTGCATCTATATTTATTACTTAAATGAATATTAGTTATTTGAGGACACACAGTGAGAATAAGGAATATTTCTTAGGAGCCAAAGAAAAGCAAAACAAAAGAAAAAACAGGTATACTCAAGAGATCTGTCTTTATCTCCAAAAATATGTTGTTAATCCTCAGTGGCCCAAAGCACCACAGGAAATGACTGACTAAAAAAATAGTTGTTTCCCTAAGGAGTCCTTATGATACACCACATTGAATAAACATCCACAAAACTGTCCAAATAGAAACTTTCTTAAGACCCTTTATGACATCTCCACACATGCCCAGCAGGTGAACAACCTCTACCTGTCACGGATAGTGACAGAGGCAACAGCAGAACAAGAAGAATGCTCCTGTTCTCTTTGCTTCATCTTTCCTTTTAAAAAAACAGAGAGCAGACAGAGAGGAGCTGAAGGTGTGGAAAGCAGGACGAAAACAGTGAGCATGTGCTTTTGTGAGTGAATGAGATAATTAGATTCTGTAGACGAAAAAAGATACGGCGTACTGAATGAGAGTGTGCAGTTATAAATATGCACACAGCAACCATGCTTATAGCTGCAGCGTAACACTCATCTGAGCAAATATGATTACAAACACCTGGATCCCTGATCTTTTCTACTTTCATGCTCTCCTTCTCTCTTTTGATGTACATTTGTGAGTCTGTGTGTGTATGAGCAGATAAAGGTTTGTGTAGCACCTTCTGATCCTGCCATAGGCTACCATTAGTCAGCTTAAAACTAGGTGTGTTGCTAACTGTTAATGCAGATTCATTAACGGTAAAAAAAAACAGCACCATGGAATCCTGCTTAGGCCACACACACACACACACACACACACACACACATACATGTGTAAAAATGCTGACTGGGCAATGAGCGCGTGTCGGGGGGGAGCATCAAAGAGCTAGTGATGAGAGAAGAGAGAATAGATGGTTGCGCATGGTGCATACCCAAGCGTCTGCAGGCGGGTTGCTCATGTGGATGCAGGGCAAAGGAAGGTTGCAGCAGTACAGTGTGTGCGACTGCATGTGTGAGTGGAGGGAGGTGGAGTATAGGTAGGGCGGTGGAGGACACCATTGGAGAGAAGGAAATGACAGGGCGAGAGATGCAGCGACTATGACCTGCAAGAGCTGGGTCACAAGAACGACTAGGGAGAAACCCAAGA